GTTCTCCAGGCAGGACGAGTCCCCCGGTCCCCCGGCCCCCCCATTCTCCAGCGGTGAGGGCTCCAGCTCGCTCTCGGCCGTGGTGATGCCTTCATCTGTCGATTCCTCCTTCCTCCTCCTCCCGCTGGCCCCCGGCGAGGCGGTCCCCCGGCCCCGCTCGGCCTCCGGCAGCATGTTGTCAGGGGAGGAGGACTTGGAGCCATCCGACGCCCCCGGCTCCTTCCTGCCGCCTGCCTCCCGGGGGGCTTTGGCCTTGGGCTTCTCCGGCTCCTTCTTGGGGGGGGGTTTCTTGATGCTGCTGGCCTTGGCCAGGGGGTTGCGGGTCTCCGGCACCGGCGTTTTCCGGGACAGGGTCTTGCCAGGAGCCTTGGCCTCTGCCTTGCTCTCCTTCGCATCCTTCCGCAACGTCTCAGCCTTCACCTCCTTCTTCACCACCTTCACCTCCTTCTTGGCCTCCCCCTTCGCCTCGGCCCCCTCGTCCTTCTTCGGCGGCTTCTTCTCCTCTTTCCGGGGGACGGGCTCCTTCTTGGGCATCGCTTTCTCCTTGCTCAGCTTCAGCTTCGCATCCACCTTCAGCTTCTCCATCGAAGAGTCCAGCTTGGCACGAGCCTCCTTGGCTTTCTCCTCTTCTGACCCCACTCTGGCCATCTCCCCCAGGGATTTTGGCTTCTCCTTGGTCCCTGCCTTCACCTCCTTCCTCTCCACCTTTGGTGGAGCCTTCTCCTTTGGCGCCGGCACCCCGGTGTCCACCAAGCTGAGCTTGGAAGCTGACTTCAGGCTCTCCTTGCTCTCTGCCCTCCTCTGCTTGAGCAGCTTCTCAGGCTGGGACGCCGGTGGCCCCTTCAAATCGTTCTTGGTGACTACTGGATGTTTGAGGAACTCCAGGTGCTTCACCTTCTCCAGCCCCTCCAGGATGCGGCCCTGGGGGGTGCAGCCGGGGAAGAGGACCCGGATGATCTTCTCGGAGGGGCTGACGGGGTGCCAGATGAGCAGGGCGCAGACGGAGGTCAGGCACTGCAGGGGCAAATCCTGCTCCTTAGGGTAGCTGTTGCCTGACCACTGCTGCAGGAGAAACTCCAGCTCCTTGGTGCCCTTCACGGGGTTCAGGATGTACATGTCCAACCGGCCCACTCCCATCTTCTGGAAGAGGACGGTGGGCTCCGCGCGGGGTCCGCTGTCGCGGGCCAGCGGGTTGGGACGGATGCCCAGCTTCTCCAGGTAGTGCAGGGTCAGGGCAGCCTCGTCGCAGCTCTTCAGCACCCTGGAGTTGCCCTTGATGTCCTTCAGCTTCTCGGAGGCATTGAGGAAGACGACACCCAGCTCTGGGGAGATGAGGTTCTTCGCCCAGTCCCCATTACCCTGCGAACCTTGGGATGGATCCTCCTCCAGCTCGGCCAGCTTCCGCTGCAGCAGGCTGTTGACGCCGGGCAGGCTGTCCGTGCCCGCGTGGGTCACCAGGATGGAGTCGATGCGGTCCAGGTGCCGGACCAGCTTCCAGAAGGATGACTTGGGGTTGGAGCCTCCGTTGACCAGGACGTTGAAGCCATTGACGGCAAAGAAAGCCGAGTCCCCTCTCCCACCCGGGAAGATATAGCAGCAGGGCTTGGAGAGCTTGAGGAAGCCCACCATGGTGGGGGGTTCAAGGAGGTCAAAAGGGGACTGGGGCTCCAGGGACTCCGAGAGGTACTCCATGAACTCCTCCAGCCCCTCCATCTCTGGCAGGATGCAGCCCGGGTTGTAGCGCAGCTCAATGAAGTCCTGGAGGTTGTGATGGTCCAAGCCCGAATCCCTCCACTCCCCGAAGTCGGGGCAGCTGATGGTCAGCCTGGCCTTGGCCGAGGGGTCCGCGGAGCTCAGGATCTCCCCAACCTGCGAGGGGATGGGGACAGCCAGAGCTTCAGGTGGGATGGGGCACCCAGGGCCGGATGTGGGGCAGCCCAGGGGGTGCCCTGCCTCAGT